TGGCACAAGTAGAAAACCATCTTCTACAAAGGCACACAAAAGAAGGAAACCATGTTCCCTTCCATGTATGTATAATCATCAGAAATTGTGTTAAAAGTTCATCTGGATGTAGGATTAAATAATTTCATAAGGAACTTTTAATTGTTTGGTTGTTTTGGGTTTTTTTTTAATGCAAATGTATTTCACTGTTACTTACCTGGGTCCATGTCCTTACAGGAAGCTCTGTAATTTCTACTGTGTTCCTGTCCACCACAAATATTTCACCACTGACTACATACTGGTTTTGACCAAGTTCCTGAATGGTTCCTTTAAAGTTTTTGTAGTTTGGGAGCTGAAATTGCAAAAAACAGTGGTAATAATCTTTATAATAAAACGTTGGAAAAATATTTGCTTCCCCTACACCATACAACTATCACTTTATGTTGTACTAAACTAAACCAGACTCTCATGCCTGTGAAAATCTTAAGTCACAGGGAAAACACCACCGAAAAACCAGAATATACACATGCAAGTGACAGGAGCAAGAACCTTAACATCTACAGAGTAGATATATGATTAAGAAGATGCAGCTGAACCCAGTGAGGTAGTAGGTTTTCTGTTTTGTTTTTTTTTTTTTCTTCTTTTTTAAAGAAAACTGCAAGCACAAATAAGGCATAACAGAAAGCAGATGAACACCTCAGTCTCACAATAACTTTACAGAAGTGGTGCTACCTCCCCTAACCATTTTTTCATTCTTGTGCTGTTTGGCAAAGATAGTGGAACCCATCCAGTTTAAAAAGTAACTAACAGAGTGGGGATTTTTTTTTTAACTGAATTGATTCCTTTATCCACTTTACCATGCAGCCACAAACACATACCAGCATACAGAAAGGAGCTAGATGGAGGCAGAACTGCCTCTTTCAACCACAGTGAAGCTTCAATTGACTGTGAGACTACACAGAAGGCCTAGGAATCCTAAAGGAAGGGCAATGGATTATATTAATTAAACAAAAAAAAAAGTCTATTCATTGTTCCCAAGAATTTGTAAAAGGAAATTCACCAAGTCATGAAAATTGATACTGCACACTCAGTGAACTGTGATCTAAGAAGAGAAGAAAGGATGTTTCTGCTTCTATGACTCGGTAAACACAGCAAAGTAGCAATATCCATCCGTTGTAAAGCAAAGGTTACGTTATCTGTATTTCATCTCTTGGTTACAGATATTCTGCATTCACCCAGATATTCTTCCTGTCCAAATTTTTTGTAGTATACACCACTTCCGAGACTTCCTATAAAATTTTTAAAAAAGGAACAGAAGCTAGATGCAGTTCAGAAGCTGCTGATTTTCTTCAACAGTGACAATATCTTCTACTATGCTTACAGATATATATGTATACACATACATATATCTGTGTGTGTATATATGTAAGAGAGCACAATTCAGACAAGACAAAGGAAATGTTAAGTTTGGCTGAAGACAAGTAGTAGTAGTACCTCAAAAAGGAAAGAGAGGTACAACTTTTTACTCTACTGCCATATCATAACTACCCTGTAAGACCTTCAATTGTGAAGGCTTACAGTCAGCAAACTGAAGAAAAAGTTCTCTGAAATAATTGCAAAAATACAAATGGCAATTTTTTTGCTTCAAGGTGAACTTCCCCAGTCTCATTCTAACAGCTCCTACACAAAATTACTGAGACAATCCAACTCAGATATTCCAATAATCAAGCATTTCTAGAATGATATGAACTAATTTTTTAAGTACAAAAATAAGGTTTGTTTAGTAAACATAAAATATCAGTATATACTACTATTTTTACCATTGGGTGGGGATCTAAGCCATCCAGCATTCGTCTGACATTGTTTACGATCTCTCTGGTATCATAGTTTGGAAGTTTGCAAGCCCATCCAGTACCAATTCCTTCAGCTCCATTTACTAAAACCATAGGAATGATGGGAATATACCATTCAGGCTCTACACGTTGGTTGTCATCATAAAGGAATTTAAGCAAGTTGTCATCCACTGATGGAAAAAGCAGCCTTGCCAAAGGGCTTTAAAACAGAAAAAGAGGAAAGCTGTTTATCTGGAGTCGAGTAAATAAAGTACATAATGCTTTAACAGTCCATGGATAGGATCCAGATAGGATCTATTTATAGATACTTCTCATGTCTTCCTTTCTCTTTGCCATTCTGAAGCTGAAAATACAACATACATACCTCCTGAGAAAAGGAAGTTCTTCCCAATGGAAGACTGTGTTCAAAAACTGATTTCCTTCACAATAACACACGTATACGATACACTAGTAATTGTCAACATTTAACATCTACAACACATTTTTCTTTGAAGCATTCAGAACACATAGTTCAATGTGACAGTAGGTCACTCAGTAATAAAGCAAAACAGCAAGTAACACAGCATGCTAAGTTGCAAAACTTTGTTGCTTATTTGTAGGCCTAGCAGTCTCTGACAATCCTACAGAGGGTTTACTGGTGACTTCTTTTGCTCATCTAGAACGCTGTCTTAGGTGAATACGATTTCCAGTACCTCATGCAAAAAGGAAAATGTACAAAACTAGGTTGCTACAGAAAGAACATTTATGAGAAAGGGAATAAAACCCGATATTTACGTATAAAGCTTACAATTAGAGGAAAAGAAGAAATTACAAAGAATTTTATGCAAAATATCACACTGAAATTTGGAAAGAAAAGAAACAACATAACTTATAAAAATACTACAATTTACATTAAGGAACATATTCTAACACTCTGCACATCAAATTGAATTTCCAGGTATTAGCTGTGAAAAATCGGCATAATTAAATTGGATCTTCATTATTAATTATATATGTGTAATTTAGCTTGATATGAAGAAACTCATCTGAAAGGAAAAGAATCCGTCTCAACTCTCAAGTCTATGCCAAGTTGCAAGACTTATCACCAGGTAGCAATACACTTTCTATTGTGAAACTGAACAGATTCCACACTGAACAGGCAAACTGAAAGCTACTTCTGCAAGAAGTCACAATTTAAGATCAGTAACTAATCTGAGTGATCTGTATTTTCAGCCATCAGCCTTATGATTCAAAGTTCAATTCCCACAACACTTCTCTACAAGGAAAATCATGCAAAAAATCCATGTGCAAAAACACACTTATAGATGTAAAGTAGAATTTAAGCTTCTATCAAAATGTTCCAATCCTCCCCCATTACTCTCCCACAAAAAAAACAAACTCTGTAGTGTCATGAAGGATTAGTTTGATAACAAGGCTTTCGAAAAGCATGCTTTTAGCTTTACATTCGTGTTTACCTTAACATTGTGAAAATATAGCGAGGACTGGCAGCATCCTTCCCACCATGAAGCCTGGTACCAAACTGACCAATAGGTTGTAGCAGATTGACATTATTACTGCCAACAAAGTTCTGAGCCAAGTTGACAATAGTCATCATTAACGCTTGCTGCAAGAAAATACATATTGATAGTAATAAGAAGAGAGAGTCTTTCCTAATCAGCCAATAAAAAAATATTCTTAATGCCCACAAACTGTGTGAATAACCTGAATTCAATTTTTAAAAAGTAGTCTCCCTAAGAAAGCAATGTTGGAAATCTACTGCAACAGCTGCTGGCAAAACATAATGCTTCCTCTTCCAGAGCCGCCTTGCCTCCTTGATTTAAGGGTCCTTACATTCTATGCTTATGAAAACCCCCCGGCTTCTCCATTTTTTCTAAAGCACTTCTCTGGAGGAATGAAAGTGGCACAAACTGACTGCACTTACTACTGCACAAACTACTACTCATTGCTTTTAAAAGGAGAAAAGAAGGGATGGAGAGAGACTGTTAAAATGGCAACTCTTGCTAATATTTCAGAAAAATATAAACAAAAGAGGAGACAGAAATAATCTTTGTTCTAACATTGTATCAAGTTTTCGAAGGATAATATCTATTCTTACATTAGAAGACTATATTTCTTAAGACAAAAATTGTCCTAGTATGTACGTCCTATATACCTATGATCTGAGCATCTAGAAGCTACCTAGGTAATTAGTTATCTACTATTTCACCACAACCCACAAACTATTTGGGATACCAATGTGCACAAAGACTTGGAAAAAATAGAAATATATTGTCTTATTAAGCTATACACTGTTTGGTTCATTTTCTTTAAAAGTAAATCTGTGATAAGTATACCTGTAGTCGATAGGTTTGCAATTTAAATACAGTAAATATTTACCTAATATTTTATGTAGGCTAAAATTCCTCACAACTTTACCATCCTTCATACTCACCTCCCCATGGTGATAAGCTGACATTTCAGCAACAGAACCAGCCAGCTGAGCAACCTTTACTTCACGTTTATCATTTCTCTTAAAGCAAGTGAATAAAACTTTGCGTTGTCCTGGTTTTAAACCTATTAATAAGAATATCACATTTTCAACATACACAAGCATATATTTTTAAGTAATAACCTTTTTTTGCCTTATTATCATTTCTAATTTCTCAAAAGAAGCCTAAACATTACATGGAAATAAATTCACGCTGTAATATTAACCAAATAACGAATACATATCTCAGTTCTGTTTAAAATAAAAATATTTTACCAAACTGAAAAAGTTACCAGAAAAGTGGAAACGTAACCCTTTCAGCCAATCATTACTATGCAGCATACAGTACATCATTCTAACAAACAGCCACTTTATCCTAAAAGCACAGCTTTCACAAGTCAGGAGTCGTTTCTTTCCAGTCTACTCAGTAAAATCTTTTTCCTAAGAACAACAACACAAATTCAGCAGTAACAAATGTAACTGTAGCTTACATGTATTTCAAAGGACTTTGAAATTTTACTTTTTGTGTGAAATTCTCGAAGACTTAATAAAATTCAACAAAAAGATAGGTTATTTGTGTCCCTTTTAGATCTTTTAAAGTTTTAAGAAAGAAGGCAGTCTCTTGATCTTCTATTTTATTTTTATAGTTTAGGCTCACTTTAGGTACATAATCTGTGTGGAAGGGATTGCATCATTTTTTCTGTATGTTATCTAGAATGGATAACCAGTTCTAGACCATGCTTATTGATCTAGTCAGTGTTTTAATTCACATACATTTCTGAAACACACTAAAATGTTCCTATGTGCTACCATTACTAACACAAAGAGCAAAAATTGGAAAAAAAAAAAAAAAGACGCTGACACCAATCCCCATCTCATTTAAATACATAACATCCAATTTTCTTTACAATGGGCCTGCATCTCATTTTCCTGCCAAAGATGTACTGAATGCAACAGACTGCAAGCATTTCCTTCACACAGGAGAATCACCAAGGAGTAAAAGTGGTAACTAGTAACTGTGAAGAGAGAGTTAAAATGCCCTTCCTCTTCATTTTTTCTGACATTTGCCACCAGACTAGCCTGTTATATATCTCCTGATGATACTGAAGAATAAAAAACATTGCTAGAGTACTACCTGCTGAAAAAAGCAGTTCCCATATCCATGCCCCGAACGCAGAATTACAGCCAAAGTTGGCAGAAACATTGATAGCAATTATATATAAAATATGTAAAATATTGTATGTATAATACTGTAGATACTATATATGTATAGTTTGTACTATATTATATATAGTATGTATATATACTACATATATACAGTATATATAGTATTATATATAGTATGTCTTATATTATAAATACCTACATTATATTACATACACATACACATATATAAATAAATATATATGTTCCCTTCTTATTTTCTTACACTTCTGTAGACACATTCTTGAAGAACTTGAATTCATATGAAGTTATCTACTGCAAGTTCATTCTTCAGTTCAAGTTTCAGCAAAATCGTTCTGCTGTTTCTGAGCAAGCAGCCAGGGTAAACTATGAAACGCTTGCATAGAGACTAACAGCCAATCCAAGTACCCAGCTATGGGACAAGGTAAGTGTGGAGAAGCGGAAACAGAGACTGACATTCTTTGATTCTCTGGAGTTGTATCTGCATACCTAACCCAGCCTCATTCCACAGCAAAGCTGGAGATCCATCCTACCAGGAAGCTACTACCCCATTCACCTGTGAACTATCCCACTTTCTCATACAAAATATAAAAAGCTCTTGCTACATGAATATTTTGATATGATTCTGTAATGTCAAGAAGGCTGATCACTTCCACTATAAAAAATGTACTGGAAAGTGGAGATAAATGGGCTTTTTTTTTTTTTTCTTATGAAACCTCAAGGCCTTTTTTCCATATCTTAGTAAGCATGTGCACACTGACAATAATATAAGCAGAAATTCCTGCTCATGCAAAATGAAACTGTAGTGTACTAAGCTGCTTCTTTTAATGTTCATGCTATTGCAAGAGGAGAGTTAGCAAACCTGACTGACAGAACCCTAGCAAGATTACAGGAAAAGCTAGGAAGCACTAAAACACTGCCTGTGGTATAAGAATGAAGGGTGAAAACATTTGCATCTTCATTTGCACTCAGCTGCTGACTTGAATTTTAATTATTATAAGCACTTAAAAGACTTGGTTTCTCTGATGGTTTGACTAGAAACATAGCACTTGTATGGTCTAGGGAATAGGTCTGGTTAAGTAAAAAGGCTGAACAGCAACAGCTTAAACTTCCTCACAGAAGAAACACAGCATTTCTTAGCATATGAATGCTAACAAACAAAAACATAGAAGTTCTTATATTCTCAACTTGAGAGGTTTAAAAACCAACAATAGAGAGGAATGTTTCAACAAATCATAATCAATTATCAGCTTACCATCAACAAGAGAAGGAATAGATCTCTCGTTGTCCGAATTTGAGAAAAGGATCAACTCCTTGTTAATGAAGTCATTGTAAGTCAAATGTTTTGTTGCTGTACCATATAAAAATTGCTGAAAAACACACACACGTTATTAATTCAACACAAAAAATACATTACATTTAACTCTCACACACCAAATTTATCACTATGATTTAGGACTCACCTCAGGAAGGCCATGTAGCCGACGCTGCCTCCTGTCCTCCATGAAGTTTGTTAACCACTCTTTTCGGTCATCAATCTTCTTCTTACTGAAGGCCTGAAAAAATTCCAAGTACACTAGATCATTAGCATATATATGTTTGTGTAAATGCATGTTACTTCAGTCAGAATTTTAAGTGTGCTCACTATCTGACCAAGTATTCAATAACACTTTTTTGGATAAGATAATCCATACAACTAATATTTACATTTAAGCAGCAGTACAAACACAGGACCTTTCAGACACTGCTGCACAAGGGCTTTCAAACTGACAGATACCTCACTGATGATAATTTAAATTTATATTACTTTCCCAAAATCCGTACACATTTAGATAAATCTTATCATTCTTATTCCTCTCTTCACATCACAGTTGTCCTTTGATACACAAGTTTAAAGGTGTTGGGATCTCTCCTCAAATAATTTTAAGGTTGGGTTCATCATTTAGACTGAACCATAACCACCTGTCATCAAGAAAATTAATGGAAGGTATTAGAAAAAATACTCCCCTCTTCTTGTCCTCTCCAAGTGCTGTTTGCTCTGTCAGCCAGAACACCAATAATCTGTAGCTGTTCCCAAGTGGCTGGTCCTAGTCCTCTTAAGAAAATTGATAACTTGACAAAATTGACATGAAAAGACTAAGCCAGAGTTTAGGCCAGCTGACTGAGGGCCTTAGTCACATGGTGTCACTTTAAAGTAACCACTTATCTCTACAAAAAGACATGAGAATGTTCTGAAAGACTTTGTCCTCTTACAGAAACAGAGTTCCCCTCTAGTGAGTTTCTTCTCCAGAAGATTAAGACTAAGAGAAGAATATATAAAAACTGAGTATGTGGTTTAAGCAAAATTTCAACTACTTTGGAAAAAATTTTGTAAGTTGTTGAAGTACTGCCTTTTTTTTCTTAGGGAATAACATATAGAGACTCCATCACATACAGATTCCAACCACTCTCCTGCATAAGAAGACAGTCATCAGCACGATCTTTTTTAAAGGACTAACCGGAGCACTCCGAAAGAGCTCAACGAGTCGTTTCATTTCCTTGGAGACCATGGTATCACTTAATAAATAAGAAACCTTAGTAACTTACTCTCTGAGAAAGGGACTAAGTGGTATCACCCTGTTTTGCATCAGACTGACTTCCTTCATGAGCAAAGCTCTACAGTTCACAACGTCAGACATCTGAAGGCTTGAGATTAGGCTTTTGTAAAAATATTGACTAAATTCTTTCAGTGTATTTATAATTTTTCTAGACCACTGAAGTGACAAATGACCAAGAGCTGGATCAGCGTAAAAATTATTTTAATAGAATAAAAAAAAAGAATTAATAGAATAAAAATTTTGAATAAAAATTCTTCCCAAATATTCATTCTTGAATACAGTAAAATTTTTTTTTTACTTTCTTCACTTTAAACTGCTATTCTAAGACTTCATTTACTAGCAAAAGAGTTCTTCAGAATGCTGAAGAATTTGCTATCATAGAATCATAGAATTGTCTGGTTGGAAGGGACCTTCAAGATCATCGAGTCCAACCATTCACCCTGCACTGTCACGGTCCCTAAACCATGTTGCTCAATACCAAATCTACACTGTTTTTAAACACCTCCAGGGATGGGGACTCCACCACCTCCCTGGGCAGCCTGTTCCAATACTTCACAACCCTCTCTGTAAAGAAATTCTTCCTGATATCTAACCTAAATTTCCCCTGGCGCAACTTGAGGCCATTCCCTCTCGTCCTGTCATTCATAACGTGGGAGAAGAGACCGACCCCCATCTCCCTACAACTTCCTTTCAGGTAATTGTAGAGAGCAATAAGGTCCCCCCTGAGCCTTCTCTTCTCCAGACTAAACAGTCCCAGCTCCCTCAGCTGCTCCTCATAGGACAAGTTCTTTAAACCCTTCACTAGTTTTGTTGCTCTTCTCTGATCCCACTCCAGCACCTCAACGTCCTTCTTGAAGTGAGGGGCCCAAAACTGGACACAGTACTCAAGGTGTGGCCTCACCAGTGCTGAGTATAGGGGGACAATCACTTCCCTGCTCCTGCTGGCCACACTGGTTTTGATACATGTCAGGATTCCGTTGGCTTTCTTGCCTGCTTGGGCACACTGCTGGCTATGTGAAATAATTTTTGTTTTCCTAGATTACAGCTATCATGAGGCCTGGTAGGGCCTATAATCTTACAACACCTATGCCCAGAGGTAAACTTGGGGCTGGGATTAGAGCTATCAGCAGAGAAAACGTGGGTAGGAGTGTGAGCGAAGCTTCTGGTAACAGCTTCAGTACTAGTCAGTAGCTGTTCCTGGTGTAACAGAGATGTCTAGTTTCATCCTGAATTGACAGAGCATTATTTCAGATACCAGTGAGAGTCAGCCCCAACAGGTTATATGGCCTCAGATATCAGCCTGTATATGGAGGTTTATCTGCAGAAATAGAACTCAGAATTTTAATCAGGGAGTTCGGAGTCTCTCCACCAATTGGTTTAATGTGTATGTATATACAGAATCCTTTTTTATCTAGATGAACACACTTGTCTGGGACGAGGAACCATGGATTATATCTTAAGCAGAAGTAAAATGAGTGGTACAAATAACTGCTGACACATCAGGCTGGTTTTCTTCAGAACAGATACCTACTATACCTTTCTGTTAGTAAAACCACAACATTTTACTAGATCCACAGTGTAAGAAAAAAGTTGCTATATAAGGAAGAAGTTGTTTAGTCTAAGATGAGTATTTTCCCATTTTTATTTTTTCTCTCGTACTCCTTTTTCTCTCTAATATCATCTACAGTTAAAATAGTAAATTAAAGTGGACAAAGGTGAAATGTTTCTTCAGAAAACAGCTTTGTTTCAGACACTCCATTCTTTGTCCTTCCACAAGCTCTCTTTAAAACACAAGTAATTTCCTGCACACAACAATCTAAAAGATTTCAAATTCAAATAAGGTAGAACCCATGCATAAATACATGTATGCCACACTGATATATCTTCAATGAATAAATAATTTATCTGTTCTTATTTGCTAAGAAACAAAATTCAGATCCCTAAATAGATGTGAAACATCATTTGTCTAGGCTGTGTTGTCTTACTCAGAATACTCTTTTGCATGTTCTGTCTTTAAAAACAAATCTGAATGTAACATTTTTTGATATTCACACCACAAAAAATTAATCAAAGCTACTAAGCAGAAAGTAGAGCTGATTTCATAGCGCGGATAAAGCTCTTACTCCAAAATCTAACGTCTTTTCCAAAAGCCTTTTTCTCTTCCAAAAGTATTTTTTTTCCAGCTACTCCAAGAAAAACCCTATTAGGACTTCCTCAGGTGCCATTTCAATAAACAATGGAAACTAAAATTTATCATATAGAAGCACATTAATAAGCTCTTACCAGTGTAATGGCAGCATCATCTTCAGGACCAGCATATCGAAATAAGATCCGATGTCTTTCCATGTCAGCAAAATATTCTTTTGCTTCTTTAGCAGTGCTGGTACCCAAACCTGTGCAATAAAAAGAAATAGTCACTCCATATTCAAAATTCAAGTTTTATTATTTTACCCTTTTTATTTTACTGAGAATATTACAAAATCATTACAGAAGATACTGTATCTGTATACTGAAAACAGCTACAAATAAAACTTCATACTACCCATTTATTATATATTTTAAGATCCATGAGGTTCACTTTTTTTTTTTAAAACAAACCTTTGTAGTATTTTATCTTCCATGCTTTATGATTCTCCATGTGTTTCTTCCACTCATCAAATTCAGGAATACTATAGAATGAAAGTTCTTGCTTATTTTTGCTTGCCTTTAAAAAAAATAAACAACAACAAAAAAAGAGTCAACTTTTCTGTTGCATTGTAAGTATTAAATAAAATCTCTTTAATAGAACCCATACCTTTACAATAGGAGTGATGAATTCCTCAAGAAAACCATGCTTCAACAGTGACGGCCAATTGTGATGAATAAAATTGATCAACAAGCCTTTTATGTGAGATCCATCCTGATCCTAAACCAGAACATGAAAACATGAGGCAGTCATAAAATGTCAGAACTCCCAAAACCACCAAAAAAAAACATGCACTGGCCTGGATACATCAAAACAATGTCTGTTGACAGAAAACAGAAGGAAACAGTTAGTTTTAATTTGGATTCCAAACTGGACCTGAGTATAAAATAGACTGTGAATGGTATTATCCCTGAGCTAATGACAAGCTCTTCCAAGCGAAGTACACAGTTGCAGCTCAAAGATTTCTCTGCCTGTGGCATTTCTCTGAGAGCTAGACAGCTCTCCTAGACATCATGGAGATGAATCTTTGTGGAAGAAAGTCAAGCCTGGCCCTCAGTTCTCATTGGTGTTAAGACGCTTGATAGTTCAACCTCTCTGTGAAAAAAATAACAAAGCTTCACGAATATCCAAAGCACAGGACTCCTAGACTTCCAAAATCTGAACAACAGACACGCTTTATGAGACTGTCCAAAAATAATTTCCTGCATTCTTGTCTCTCCCAGACTTTCTAGCATTACCACCTCATCTACTGTTTCATTTTGTACTTACTTTCCACATATTTTTGAGTTATCAAAAGCATTCTCGTTTATGCATGTTTTTATTATTACATTGGCATCTCTGCTACTGTGCAGCAGAGTTCAGTTGTTCATTTGGAGTTGTTCAGTTGTTCACCAAAAAAACACGCAGATAGATTGTTCCCATAAAGAAACCTCATACATTAGGGACTCCCTCTGAAAACATACATATTGCCATAACACAGAGGCAGGTTATAATGCACAAAAATGTAAAAAATTACAAAACGTACCAAACTGCAGTAAATCACATTTTAAGAAGCTCTGTATATTAAAACTTGTGCGTTTCAGACTAACCTGATCTGTCATGATCATAATTTTTCCATATCTCAAGCTTTTCAGAGATTCTGGATCTTCATAGCTTTTCTTGTATTGTAGTCCAACTATTTTGATGATGTTGTTGATTTCTGCATTTTCCATAATCTGTACAAAAAAGTTATCATTGCAGTCAGTGTAAAAAGCAGAAATTCAGAAATATCCCAGTCTTTTTTAGGTAGGCTTTATAGCTACTTTTTCAATGCACCCCTACCTCAATTCCACAACCTTTTTATCCCCAGACCCCTTGCAGCCTTCATACTTGTAAATATTTCTTCTGTACATGCAAATTCTCAAGACTGCACCACTCCCTTTCTCCTCTACAGTCAGACGAGCACTTTGGGTCCAGAAGGCAGGGAGAAAAGTGCAAGTAACAAAAAGTCCTCTCACAAAGCTGCCTTCTCTTTCCACTATTCTACGGGCATCTGCAACACATCTCTTATTATAAACAAAGTATGGAGGCCAGCAGAAGTAATGCGATGGGGTAATGCTGCTGCTACTGCCCCACACTGGGGTCAATGAAATCACTTGTCAATGGAGAGAATATAAAATATTAGGTTTTTTAAGTATTCATGTAAATTGTTAATATGATTCATAGCAGAATTTTCTTGCATTTGTGAAAAAATGAACTTTATCATTCCAGTACTGTACTACTACACTTAATATTTCCAGGCTTATCTCAGGCTTTAAAGCAGCTGGTACTTTATGAAATCCCAGCCACAGGATTTTAATAAAAAAAAACAACCAAAAATTAAAATATGAAACTGTAATCCTAGATATCAAAAATAAACAGGAGACATCCATTTGCCAGCTAGAAGATGATGACAAGACTACTTACTTGTTTGTGAGAAGCTTCTCGAACATTGAGAATTTTACCCCTGAGTGGGAATACTCCGTATCTGTCTCTACCAATAACACCTAAGCCAGAGACAGCTAAAGATTTGGCAGAGTCTCCTTCTGTTAATATTAACGTGCAGTCCAAGGAATGTTTGCCACCTGCAGTCCAGAAAGAAGCAGAAGTCAGGCAAAAAAAAAAAAAACAAACCAAAAATGGAAAGCGTAACTTTTAAGCTGAAATAACAGAAATAAAATTGCATCAGTCATGAATATTCTTCCTACTTTATGCCAAGTAATTTAAATAGGCTGAGCTTCTATTTTTAGGGATGGTCCTCCACACCACTAAAACTACACAACAAAGTATCCTTGCCCTTAGAAATACACTATGGATTGCTATGGACAAGGAGCAAAATAGACAAAATGGGATGCAATGATGGTGCATCTTATGTAATAGTCACCACACGTCTGCACAAAAAAAAAAACAAAACCCACAATCAAACAAAACCAAAAACCCACAGATTGCTTTTTGTACCTTTACCATTTCATTTTCCTAGCTGGAAATTCCTTACACACATACATTATGCATGTCTGAGTTATATACAGAAGTTATTTCCCATTCTGCACGTCCCCTTTCCTCATAGTATATTTTCAGAAGTAATTTATTAAATCACATTTTTGAGGGGTTCTTTTTTTATTGTCCATTGGCTGAAGCCAGGTAACTGTAAGAAAAACTTGACAGAAAAGCTCAAAAGATCAGAACACTTGCACTTATACATTCTCAGAAATTTCTCAAACAAAAGAAACAAATCTTTACTAATAGTGTAATCTTGATTCTACAAGACACACTGCATTTCCGTGCCTGTGTCCAGTGTGATCAAAACTGGTATGACATGTATATTTTGTTTATTGCAATTGCAACAGTTGAATAGATGTTCTAAATTAATAAACAGGTTCAAAAAAGGAACTCATCCTTTTCCAAGGGTGCAAATGCTCATTAAGCAGTTTTCCTGTTTTTATCAAGACCAAGTGATAGGAAAGATTGCAAAAAACTTCAAGCTGGCTGAGTCTCACCTACTGTTAATAAGACAGTTTTGAATATATTGGCATTTAAAATAAGTGCTTTTATTTGCCTTTAAAAACTGCACTCCCTATTACACAGAATTTACATTGAACATATTTGGTCTTCTGTTAGCCATCAGACATATGGCTTAACATAATGTAAATTAGACAGCTATTCACACTGTATCGAAAGGCATCAATAGCTACCATGTTATCAGCAAAGTGGAATCCAAATACCAAGAAAAATACTAGTCTGCTGTTTTAGAATATGAGCACACATTTTTTTTCCTAAATGAACTGCAGAAAACACACGTGCACTTGCTTCTCAAATGGATGTGATCATCAGCAATTGATTTCATGGAAAAGCAATATGCCAGGTATTTTCCTGAATACAGCTCTAAAGAACTCAAAGAGAAAACTACATGAACTGGCAAGTTCAAAGAACACTTTTATGCTGCACCAGAGTTAGTAATCTAGCCGTTCCCTTACAGTCCTATATTCTTATTCCAGGTTCTTTATTTTTCCTTTTATTTCAGAACCTCTTCTCCTCCAACAAGCCACAGAACTATGTCTACCCCATCAAGATCTCAAGAAGGCAAGAATGACCAGGGATAGGACTCATTCTTTTCATTGGCAAAGGAAATATGCAGCAAGTACATCACTATACAGATACATCTCTCTCCTATTCCTAAGTATTAACCAGTATCCACTAAAAAATTCAGTGGTACCTGGCACTCAAGAAGCCTGAAAATCTTTTGAAAAGACTATTTGTAACTGTGTACTTCTTCACAATACACTTAGCCATGTGCATATTCATAGCAAACATTCATGTAGCAAAGAGCTGAATTTTTTTGACCTAGAAGAAGCGACCATCACCTCTCACACAAGACCAAATCCTTTCTATTAAGATCCCAAAGACAGAAAGAAAGACTGATTGTGCTACAGTGTTTTGTCTGTGTACTCATTAAAGAATTTCCACAGCACCAGAACTTCCTTTTCCCCTTACGTAAAGAAACATCAAGCTTTCAGTCAGATGAAGTCACCAACTCAAGTTCATTGAGACAAGTTCTCGACAGCAGAGCAGCCAACACACGCTCAGCTACATTAAAGCAGTCACTCTTCTGTATCACCTTCTGCCTTCTCTTTCTCAATGAAAGCAGCTTTTTATTAGGATCAGAGATCCCACCTATAGTATTAACTTAGCTCTAGTGCAAAAAGAACCAAAATTTCTCTCGATTTTCAAGAGCAAACAGATGATCCATATGGTACTTTCAGTCTTTAAAAACAAAGGACTAAAGAACTTTTTACTAAATGTGTTGCTTGTGATCCTCCTATTCAAAACATCTCTGCCAGTATATATAACAATTCGGAAAATCAGGCCAAGTGTGAATATAACAATACATTGTATTCAGAAACTGAACGCCTCTCTGCCTTCCTGCGTGTCCACCTCGAATGCACAATGCTTTCAATGTGAGAAATCTAGTATGTTCCAGATCTTCAATAAACCAATACCTGGGTAAGCCTCCTTGGGAAATGCAGAGTTCCTGCTCCCCATATAAGAATAACTAAGCAGCAGAGAAATACCCGGGTAACAAGGATCCAAGTCATGCAAAACTTTAAGTATCAGTGTTGAGTCCAAACGAATCCCTACATGCCTTCTTAGCTGAGGAAGTTGCAGGGTGAAAGGTAATGTAATATTTTATTAGCTCCCTTGTTAGAGGTTCTTCCTTCCCTGTACCCTCAGAGAAAAAAACTGAGAAGTGATTTTGAAGCCTGATCTCCAAAGCAGAGCTAAAAAAAAAAACAACTATGAAGAAAGTGTATCCAAAATCATTTGTGATGTTATCTATGAGCACTAAGCTTGATATCCATAAAAACACAGCATTTCTCCAAGCACATGATCTTCTAGGCATTAAAAAATACCACGCATCTGTAAAGAATACAAATTCCACAAGCAGTGGAACTATCAACACTAGTTGAAGACGACATCATTATCAACTTTTGAGCAAAAATATAACATCTGAATAACTGGAAAAGTAATAAAATACTGACGAAAACTCAATAAAAAAAAGTAACAACCTGAGCACAAGAAATCAAAAAGAGAGGGAGGAAAATTAAACAGAACTCGTCATCTCATCAAGTCATCTTTGACTTGAATACTGGAGCTCAAAAGAAAAAAAAAGCCTCTTTACTGCTCTTACATACTTTTACCTATTTCATCCACCTACCTACTTCATTGCAATTTCTCTATCTTTGCTTAATGTAAGGATGTATTAAAAATCAATTAACATTAACACAGACTGGCAACAATTCAAGCTCTAGTCATATCTGTCTCTCAAATAATTGAAGGACAACTCCCATCCCATTACTATTGGCACAAAGATGGCCAGTTGATCCTGATTCCTATCTGTGCTGGGAAGCAAGCCAGCAGATTGCCACTTTGCCCTATATTCACAGACAGGAACCCAATGGCATTTAAACTCTCATGAAAAACGTATCTTGAACCATTCCCTCAGGTCTGCACAATACGTGATCTACTTCCTATAGCTTACGACCCTACAAAGATTCTGATCTTTTTATATTAGAAAGGTCAAGAAGAGTAGTCACCTCCAAAACAGAATATGGGTAACACTATTTAGCTGGAAACCACAATTAGAAAATACTTTTTCAATATAGAACTAGACTGCCACTTTTGTTTAGCATTACTAATTCTCTAACCTAGAGAGGACAGTGTTCCTAATATTAAGCTCACCATCATGCTTTATTCTAGCTCTAGAAAGTTTAGAAAACTAGAAAGAATCTTATTAAAAAAAATAAATGAGGATGGGGAAATAAAGTCAGGTTTAAAATGATGATGTCTGTGAAAAAATCTATGAAACATTAAAGACATTAAAAATAAGTGTTCTTACCAGCATCGTTAGCATCATCCAGTTTTGGAATGCCCTTGATTTTACTGTGTTTCACCGATGAACATTTTTTGTTCAGCTGAGTTTGTGCCTTAAATTTGACCCAATTCAAAATACTCTCTATGATACCACAGTTAGAGGCCTATAAGTAACAGATCAGAATTGTGGATGAGCAAAATAAAGCTTCACACAGCAGATTCTTCTATCTCAATTTTAAGTCACTACCTAACACTGTTTCTCAAAGCCCTCTAAATTTTATAAACTACAACATATAAAAGCTCAAGAAATTAACATGTAACTTACTGTTTAGCATTTTATGCACACAAAACCAAAATACAACACTCACATAGCTTCTTTTGCACCTCTTGTAGAATTGGTGGAAGGAGAAAAAGAAGGCTGAGACCTAATAGGAGGTTGTCTTATTTTCTATGGTTGATGTGCTAAGACATTTTAGGTACTAAGCACCTGCCTCCAGGATTTTGACAGCAAAAAGTAACCTTATGAGATATTTATGATCCTTTAAAGTTTCTTTGGAAATGACTGAAAATGGCTGAAGGATAATCAAAAGCATTTAAGAATAAGGCTCTGTATCAACCACTTGAGAAACTGATAACATTTTAAGAAACGCATCTGCAGCAAAAATAGCATATAGCATATTTTCCAAACTAAACTGCTTTAGGTTTGATTTCACATCAAAAGAAAATACAGGTGGAACAAAATACTATGATCTTTGGCTTTTCATTATCCCTCATATTATAGCACTCATTGGTTAGAGATTCTGCTGCACTTTTAATACCTCTGGAGATCAATGTTCACTTTTGGGAATATTAGAAACACTGTAAATCAAACCTACTGATAGAAATACAACACGTATAACAAAATCTGAAGAATGACTACAAGATCATGTCGTGGTTTTTTTCCTGTAAGTTCTACAAGTACGTCACCAGTAACACAGAATTAGAAGAAGAAAACACTATACAATAAGTTGAGTTTTGACGCCAAGCGTATTCTCCTTACAGGCACCGTTCTCCTTACCACTGGCGTTCCATTTATGCTACTGGCACTAAATAGGATTTAGCATAACGAGTTCTGGCTAACAGAATTCTACTTCTCTTTCCTTGTATAAAAATGTAGTAGAGGAGAAACCTCTACCATGTCATGTATTTCCACTAATACGTTCATTTAGAGTAGCAAATCTACAGCCCAAATTTCTAAACTTGTTGCCTAACAATAATGATCACTTTGAATACTACAGCCACAATTTTGCGTTTCCTTGATTACTGCAAGAATAAGTAAATGTGACATGTTCCCTCCCTCTCTTTTCACTTCAGTGAAAGAGAATAAAACTGATATCAAAAATAAGGTAGACAATATTCTCAACTTCAGAAAAATATTTTAACACAAAAAAATGGTCAAGGCCTATGTTTAGGTTTTAAGAGACAAATTCATTTCACCAATATAAATACCAGAATCTCCAACAAATGAGCTTATCAGGTGAAGCTTGTTTCTAAATCCAGGACAATAGCCAAAATACAGTCATTGCTTCTATTATTAAGGCTAGAAAACAAACAGAAGTTCCTCCATCCCATTTTCGTAGTATGCTAACGTCACTAGAGTACCATAACGCACTAATTAATCTTCTGCTACGTAACACGCATACACTCGAACCAGTAAGTCAATTCCTGCTTCACAGAAAAAAAGAAATATGCTTTACTTACTGCTTTAAAAAATTTCTCAGATAGCTGGCACTTGGACCCAAAACTTTTAGGCTGCAATGTCATGTTTTCCTTTGTCTGGGAATCAAACGATGGGTTTTCAATCAAGCAATTAACAAAAACCCATATATGATTCTTCACCTGTTGAAAACACAGAAACTAATTCACTCAACAAAATTACCACATTCGTCTTTTTTCAATATTTTTGTATAAGGTTACTTGCCTGAAATGGTTTCACTGAAACTCCAGCTTTATTCTTCTTTTTCACCACTTCTATCAGTTTGCCCACAACCTGATCCACCACGTAATCAACATGCCTACCACCCTTAAAGAGGGAAGAGAAAAATAAAAAAAGAACAAAAGCATTGAATTTCCTAATAGCTTTTAGCTGTATTAACAAAGCTCTTGTAGTCATACTTAAATTTGGAAATCCATGCACATTAAGTTGCAGCATAACAAAGGAAAACTTGTTTTAATGTTTCATGTCACTCAGTCTTCAAATAAGTGAGGATGATGGATGTTACATGGAATAGAAGCAGAAGACCTTTCATTCATCGTACAGTGGTCGACTTCAAATGTAGCTGCTTACAGCTTGTAAGAAGATACAAAACCTTAAGAGTATGGCAGATCTGAAAATTACTCTGTAGCAGTGGGATGGTACCTGCAACATCACATGGCTGTCAAGAAGTATCTTATTAACAGGCACATAAATCACCTTGGACTAAAAACATCACACATTCATTCAACAAATTAAACCTTTCCCTTTTGGTTCATAAAAAATAAGTGTTCAAGAGCTCACCCTCAGATATACATCATTCATGCCTATTCCTTCCTAAAAGTCACCTCACCTTTTCTTAGCTGTTTTTACAGAACTCTTTGAATAAATGCTATTAGCATTCTTTGCTAGCCTGGGACTTTGGTGAAGGCAAACAGAAAGCAAACTGCAAATAGCCAACTACGAGATCCAGAAAACTCCAAAAGAACAGAGCAAGATAACCTTAAGGAGATAGCAGTTCTCCTTAAAACTCACCAAAGGATAAACCTGTTCCAAATTCATACTTGATGTAGTAACAAGAGATCCACACAGAGCATGCAGTTAACCATGAGCTGTCAAACTGACCCCTTAGGAGACCACAAGGCAGTAACTCACAGCTACAGAATCATGTTGCCACCTGTCTTCTAGCAAACAAAAGCAGTCAGCTAGATTCCCTTACAGTTATCACCCAAATGCAGAAGGAAAAAGAAAAAAAAAAAAAAAAAGCCTATAAGCAATTTCTTGCATCATCATGGTGAAAAAAAAAAAAAAGAATATATAGGATTTTCTTCCTCCATTGCACCATAACAGCTGAAATTGAAACATTCACAGCACCTGTCACAATTCCAAAAAGGAGGACTGAGTACTGGTTACTTTCTTAAGACCTTCTCAACTAGTTATTTCAAGTGAAGCCCTTATTGCAAGAAAATGTTTGGTGAAGACAATGTATTCAGCTCCCAACTACAATCCCTAGCACAATAGACCCTGAGGAACAAATGCTTATTTATGTACTTAAACTTTAGAGGTAATAAGTCAGAAAAAGTTAGCTTTTTGAAGTGATACATAACTCATGCTTTGCAATACGGCAGCATGAAGAAAGTACAGACTATTTTCAATGTTTAAATAGCTACAAAAAAAAATCCAAAACATAACACCAGAAGACTAGTAATTTTGAGATTAAATTGCTTGGAAAATAAAAGCATTTCACATAAGCTTTCTGGGAAAAAAAAAAGGTCTATTATAGGTCTACTACATCCTAACAATGACTACTGATTTACATGTGTAAAAGAAACGTAACAATTATGGGGTTTATTCTACAATGCAGAAGTCATCTCAATCAGAACCACTAGTAAAGACTAAAACAGAACAAATTTCTATCATAGTCGAAACATTCCAGATTAGGATGAACGAGTAGTATCTGGAGGCATGTATCCTGTAGTCTTTACTTCTATGGAACAATGACTACTGAAATTGCCTAAAATAATGGTGATAAATATGTTTAAATATTTACAAGTCCAAGGCGACACAACTTCCCTTACAGGTAAAATAGCAGGCTTTCTTTGGAAAGATGTTGAAACTACTAGTAACTAAAAATCAAAAGTTAGGATTCTACATTTTAAAGCAGAGTACGTATCTGAAAAGACTGAATAAGATGTAAGTGGTTGAATCGACAAGGGATAGTAGCTGTGTTCTCAACTCCATGTAGAACGTAGAGATTAAAAAAAAAAAAAAGGAGGTAAAAAAATGGCTTAAGATGGGAAATATTATTAGTCATAACCCAAACCAGTCCTTGCACTTCAAAGAAACCATCTATGGTTTCTGTCAGTCTCTAGAGTCACCTACTAAACAGCAACACAAACCACTACTGTGTTTTAGAAGCACTATACCTATAAGTACTTTTTCATGGTGTTTCTTCTAAAAAAAAACCCCAAACAAACACAAAACTAACAAGCAAACAAAATCCAAAACCACCAAAGTTAAAACACAACACATGGATGACAGAGCCTCAGAATAGGGAGAGTTCAACTGAAAGTTGATACATCGACATCCCACGACTTTGAAGAAAAATAAATTAATTTCCAAACTGTAAAGCAAAGCTATTCCAGGAAAAATCAAATTACATGTTTCAAAAACATCCCAAATTTGAATAGCAATTTTAAATGGCATTACTTTTATTCATCGCATTACTGAAAACTTATGATTACGGGAATCTCTCTGTATTTTTGTATTTACAACTTCAGCAATTTATTTATTTTGTTTTTACAGTTTTAGCACTTCAAATATTTTGCTAAAACTAACATCTGACATATCAAAAATTAGCCACTTACCAGTAAATCTTGTTCTTAGAAGGCAATAGTTATTATAACAGTTGTCCATTCCTGTGTCCATTCTTAGTGTGTAGCATTGAGTGAGGGATGTTCAGAGCTCCAAGAACCTTTCACCATCTCACCAGTAGGTGGCACATTTACCCACTATAGAAGCATAACAGCCTATAACTGCCCCAACTGTCAGCATATTTTAATACAAGACAGAAAAAGAAAAATACCCTCTAAATCTAGAGGGCTGTCGATGATTATTATGACTACTGTATTAGGAGAAAGAGCACTAAAACTGCTTAACCTTCTTTTCCCTGAAGGTAACCATTATTGCTATTGAATCCCAGTCTTGCAAACTTCAAGATGCAAAGTCATCTAGTGAAATGGCAACAACAAAAAACTTAAAAATGAAGCTTAGACTGGCTCCTATATACATTCTATCCATAGTTACCAATAGCCAACAGCCTCAATTAAATCCGAGGTAAGTCATATTTAAATTCTATTGACAGATAAACGGTTCATACCGCAAACAAATTTAGAAGCTAATTATAAATTTGAAGCTTTCATTCAATTAGCTCTACAGATAAATTCTTATATTCTTTTGCATTTGTTTTCTACTATACTTATTTTATTAAAATGGATCTGAAAACGTCAAGCTCTGGAATGGTCCTGAATTTCTTGCTGAACTCCAGCAAATTTTAACGGGTGGAGGCAGCATCTCCACCTAAGTCTACTATCTGACCCTACATCTGTATTAGCTGAGCATTTCTGCTAAAATGATTAGTAGTAGTACAATTAGCAGTGCTGTCACATTAAAAATCTCATTAGATTGTTATGTTAATAACTGAAGTTTCTACTACAATTTCTACTACAGCTACTATTTGAAATCAAGAACTTGAGAAGACCATGTTTAATCACTTTGTATACAAGTCTCACCAAAAGGATATCTGCACCACCATAACAGCTACAAACATTCTTTCAAATGCTGCCTCAGAGCCTGAAGTCAAATTCTGTGATGGTCTACTGTGGTAAAATTGTGAATAAACGGGACGTGACCAAGGTAACAAATTTACAAGAACAAAACAAGGGAGTCGTGCCTCAACATACTGCCTGACCTTCTACACATTCCTAAAAAAAAAAACCACATCAACCTAAAAAAACTTGTTTGGAATTTAAAGCAAGTTTAAAAAACGTGGAAGTGAAGTTACGACTGGGTGAAATTTATCCAGAAACAGAAATGAAAAGCTTTCAGCAAACAGCGATAAATAACCAAAAAACAGCTGAAATGAGCTCCTCACCTGTTAGCAGATAAGGGGACAGGCAGTTGACGCAGTTAGTTACTAGCCATTATGTCTCATCAGTGGGTAGTTGCACATCAATTGCTGGTGAGGTGGTTCACCGGCCCGAACATTCCACATCCAGTCACACACATAAGGCATGGATCGGGAGAGTGGGAAAAACTAGAAATTACAACACTTACCTTTGAAGAATACACAGTATTTTTTCTATGAATTTTCTTACAGAATATATGATAACAATGTACGTGTAACTGCATGATGGGTGAAAATTGATCCAAAAGAGTCAAATTCAAAATCTTTTTAGTAACTGTATGCAATATATTTAACTCAGGAGTCAATAAATATTCATTTTTCTCAAATACATTTTCTTAACCTGGTATCAAACATTGTTAAGTTACCCTACATTGCCAGCCTCTTCAAAAAGGTATCGTACACATCTTTATGGTCACGTTATTTTTCTTCTTTATGTTGCATAAAGAGGCCTGAATTAAAACTAAGTTTTATCCTTTCAACTACCAGATACATTTGCTATCCCTGGTCTTCACAAGCATCAGATAAGCATTTAATTAAAATACACACTTAGAACGTAAATATTCTACAACGAAATAACCTATCCCCCTTATCACTGAACGCTGGTTCAGCTACACTGAAAACGACACTGGAAGAAGTTACGTAGTAAAAACCATACACCACCAAAACACATCATCTACCACCCAGATTAACACTGGTATTTCTGGGCACCCGCCTAGATGAGGGACTCCGCTTAGTGTAAACACTGGTGCTTATGAACCACTTGTGCTACCATCAGAATTTTCTTCTGTTTGACTCTTTTTTAGAAGAGATCTGAGCGAGGAGGGGTTTTTAAGTGTCTGATTACAAATTCGTATCTTTCTCATCTTTTGGGGAAGCTCATGGTTAAGATTCCCTTAAAATAGCCTCACCAATGAATTACTAGGATTGTTTGACTGTTGTTATACCACTCATCTGGTGCAATTTGTGCAGAGCAGAAATGACAAACACTTTCTTTCACCATGGTAGATCCCAGATCTCTAAACCTGGGTCACGCCAAACTGGCATTAATTACAGTTACACTAGTTGGTTTCAGGTGATTGCCTTGGTGCCTGACCATCCTAGTAGTTTGAGAAGCACAAAGATTGTCCTTCAGTATGCTGAGCATATTGCTGCTTCATCAGAACTGAAGATCTGTTACGACATCATTTCACTACTACTACAGTTGCTAATAAGAACAGACAACACCTAGATCCCCTTATACAGAAACACAAATAAAAGACAATTAACCTCAACATTTCAGGCCAGTTTTATACATCATAAAGCAATAAACGGAAAGCCATTTTTCAAGAACTAAAAGCCATTTTTGCCTTCCAAAACATGCTACTACTGGCTTTAAAGGGGTTTGTACATTTTTTTACTTTGATTTCAGAATTATTTTATTACAATGTGTTAAAAAGGAAGGAATAAAATAGTTCCATTCATTTTCTATTTAATCAATATTACATAGGCTCACATAACATCAGTATCACTGATAATGATTACTAGTGTTTTAAAAACTAGAGCATATTCAGAAATACCACTATGAATGTATTTTGATTGCATTCAATTACTTTGCCAGATCCTCTCATGCAACGGATTATCTCACCTATTTATTTTTAGTAACCCAGATGTACTTTTTTATCAAATGTCTGACTGGGCATAACCTTAGCACACATTTTTATCATTTACGTTTTTTATAATTTAATGTAACTACTCACCTTTGTGGTAGCTATACTATTTACAAAGCTGATTTGCTGAAACCCTTTTTCACTTAAAGTGAGGCACACATCCCATCGTTCATTCACAACTTCATGAATAACTTTGAGTGCAACTCCAGTTTCATCCAGCTTGTCTTTTACGTAAAGGTCTACGTAACTGCGAAATCCATTTACCTATGAGTAATACAGATAACAATTACTATTCTTTGCAAAAAATACTCAGTACACTTTAAATATTTTAAATGAGGCTCTTACAGGTAATTTCTTCCCATTCAACATGACCTTGACTCCTTTGCACGACCCAGCCAAATCATATGCTCTTCTTGTCATGAGGGCCACAATATCCTTATCGAGTTTTTCCATTTTAAATTTAGATAGATCTGGCTGGAATGTAATGCATGTGTAGTCATCACCATCAAAATGCTTAATCTTGGGTTCAGAGGTCTTCATCATATTGTTCATCCAAGTCTTTGGAAACAAAACATTTTAGATGTTAATTTACAACACGTGTTATCTTCCTCCTTTGTTCCATTTTCCAGCTTTGCTAGAATTGCAAGAGCTACACAACAAAAAGCTCACAGACTTCTTTTAAAAGTTTCCTCTGGTAAAATGCCACGCATAAAATTAATTGCTTTACCAAGATTTGCACAAGCACTGGTTAGAGCAGATTTGTGGTTTCTGTAAATATGCAGATATCATTACATTGATGGACATGATTCTAATGCAAATAGAGCCCACCACAGAACTGACTAAAGTGAGCTAGCTAAACAATCCTTATTGCCTGTCAGTGTAATGCTTTCCATCTACTATACAGTTCTGTAGAGAGGCTTATTAGTCCCTGTGCAGAGACTCAGTAGTCTCCAAGATAGCATCTTTGTGGCTGTACAGCGTCCCAAAGCATGCTTCTTGACAAACCAACTTGCTCAGACTTGACTGAGGAGTCTTGGTATTGTTCCGTGTTTAAGAACACAGCCACATTTATAAGACCAAGCAGAACGCCTACTCACAGCATAGATCAAAGTTCAGTTGTACTAAATTTTCACCGTTTTTGAAAGTACTGGAAAACATACCACTTTAAGTCGCAAAGCATGCCATTTTCAAAAAGTACACTCAAACCAATACTAATTTCCTTTTGGCAATCGGCAGAAAATACTACATTTTTAAAGAGACAGGTAAAACTGTTGAAATGTATTGTTTATGTGGTGACATGACAGCATAACTAGAAATTAATTACTTGTCCAGAAAAAAGAGAAGGAAGTCACCAACCGAGAAAGACTCCAAAGCCAAGGAACTTTGGTACTCTAACAAAGTTCTTCAAATTTTTAGAAAAGTGGCCATCTCCAAGCGATATACAGTAGATCAGATTACATTCAATCATAACAATGAGCAATAGGTTCAAATGGGGAGGGAGGGGCGTTTGCAATGAAGTCCAGCTAGGCTAATAAAATTCATGACATAAATACTGAAAAACCTTTTTCTTAACACTACAAAAAACTATCTAGATAATTGTCTCTATGTCTGCACAGCTAAGTAGAAAGATTTTTTTAACAAATTACATAACAGCAATTACAAAACATTTCAATTAAATGTATTCCTTTTCGCATGCACATGAATATACTTTATTTTTAACAGAAGAAATTTGTTGGAAAATAGTTGAGATCATTTCTATACCTGCTTAAAGCTGTGTTTGTACTCTTTGCAAGCAGTTTCAACTGTAAACTTTGTACTAAATATGTTACAAAGTTTTGCACCATATCCATTGCGTCCACCTGAAAAAAACAACATATAGTAAGTTTTTTACAGCAGGACCATATTTATGATATACAGAGAGTATGCCAATAAAGCTAAATGCTCCTATATAAGACAAAAGTTGGGCCACATTTCAATGGCTATCAAAGGTTGCCAGAGATGGAGATCTGCACTACTTTCAATCTGGTGCAACTGCTTCTGCCTCAAAAATGAGCAGTGTGCTCCTCCCCTCAAGGCCAGGATGCTCCCATTGCTTCCATTAAGTTGATCTAGCAGTCCCTTGCTCAAAGGCAAGTGACACGAGCTGAAAACTAGGTCATGATCAGATCCAAAGCACTCTGCAACCACACACCATAATATGGGCAAAATATATGGAGTATGATAGAACAGAACTAACTTTCATTCATTATCTAAATTAGGGTTACTTCACATTCAGGATAATAAATCGTATGCTAACCTATTAAATTTATTCCTTCCCTTCATTTCAAGAGCATAAATGTTTAAATGCTTGCATACCTTATAATTAAAATATGAAAATATGTTGTTTGCTACTGAATAAGGCGTACTGACATTAAAGATGTAAAGTTCTCCATAAACTTTGATATTAAAAAAGAAAAAAGTCAGATTTTTTTTTTTTATTTAAGTCATTTTACTCTAACACAGAGCTATAGTAATGGTGACTAAGTGATCATCTGTTATGGAACAGAATAGAAAGAGAAAAAGCAAGAAGAGAAAGCATACTGAAAAACAATGGCTTAACTGAATAAAACAAAGCATGTTAAGTAGTCTTGCCTGTAACTTTTTTCTCATCATCGTCGTAGTTGCTGGATGTTAGCAGCTGCCCAAAGATTAAGGCAGGTACGTATACTTTTTCTACTTTGTGTTCCACAACTGGTATACCCTTTCCATTATTCCATATGCTGATAATGTTTGATTCCCTATAAAATAGTGAAGGCATTAAGTCAATTAATATAATCTTGAAAACAGACTCCTGTATACATTCTACCTATTTACATAACTACATAAAATACAATAAAAGACTATATTCTTACCACATCTATTCACAGCTCTATCAATTTTAATCACAAAAAACACACTTATTTGTGCTTATTAGATGTCTTAGAAGAAGAAGCATAATTGCCCATACATGACATTATTTCATATCATAAAAATAACCCCCAAAAATCTGTTTGTAGAGCTTTCACTATCAACATGATCTGCAACAGAATCCTGAAGCTTAGCAACAGAATTGTTCTTAAGTTAGAGAGATGTAGCTTTTCAGGTTTCACTGAAGTCCACTCAGACACAGTCAAGTTATCCCCTGTTTAAAACTGTTATTTCCCAGTTATGATAAACATTGTAAGTTATTTTATGCATCAGTGCCAAAATCCATCAACATCTGGCATCATTAATACTTGTAGCTCTCATACAGAATTTTTATTTTCGAGTATTAGAGAGTTCAAAGTCATGACAGGTCAGGTAGATTTACGCTACCATTTTCCTCCCACTCCATAATAAAAACCATTCGGTCCACAGAAACTGATAATGCATTGAAAACTTGCAGAAAAATTATTCCTCGGTATATTTATCCTAAAGATTAGGTGTGAAAATTAGGTCTCTCAAACATTTATTATTCAGTTAAATGTCACTGAAAAGGTACTACTAAAGGAACTCAATTAACATCTATTTAACTACGTTACTTCTCATTAGGAAACACCTCTAAGCATTCAATTTCAAAAAACAGGGGTAATAACACATTTGCAACCTGCAGTTTCAGTGTGACATGGCTGACTAATTCAAATATAACCTTATCTGAATGCTAAAGGAGTCAACACAGAAGTTCAAGAGGCGCAAAATTATGTTATAAAACCTCAAGGTTGGTATTTATGATTTATGAGTAACCTGGCTGGTTATAGTTATGTACTGCCAAGCTTTCATGTAATCGTGAATTTTAGGATCTTCTGGTTTTACATTTCATTCAATCAAACACTAATGAGTAGTTCAGGAAAGCAAATTATTATAAATTCAGAATGGTAGTACTTACTGTTAACCACTTTTAACTCATCTTTTCATCTTAAAATATAAAGCTAATGGAAATAATTCCAAAAATATTATGTTGTTTTTAAAAAATCCAATTTCAGTTAGTAAAACAATTTGTACAAATCTGAACTACAGTAGCACTGGCACAGAAAGTAAATGAAAACACGCTTTTACTTACGGATCAATGGATATTTTAATGCAAGTCATATTCTTGTCCCTCTGCTTATTGTCAGCAGCATTTACTATGAAACAAAGTAGCACAAATTAACACTTTGTAGGAGCAATAATTAATACTTGATCTGTAAAACCAATTGTATACATATTTCACCACAAGTTACAATGGTCCACATATTTCTTAACCTGGTATCTCTTTGTATATACTGTATCTTATTACTGAAGTCTGTAAATACAACTAAGTATCTGCAAGAAGATATTTTTCAACCTTCTTATAATTACTGACTCTTTCTTGCAGTTAGACTATCTTAGAAATAAATACAGAAGTGTATTTTGTGAGCTGGTGACTGTTCTTAACATACTGAGAGCTTCATTCTTCTCTTACTGTACTTGTTTGGCTATTTATTACACATATTACACCATGTTTTTTTAAAAACCCTAGAAAATTGCAATTTCATCACCAGATCAGTTTACACATTCTTTTGCCACTGAAAACTAATCCCAAAAAATTTATATCTGTTAAGGAGCAAAAGAAAAAGTTATCTTTAAAGAGCCTCTGTAACTAACAGTTTTAAGTTAGTTCCTAAACAGTTTACGCAGTTTAGGATGAAAAAAAGAATAACTGGAAATTAACATTCGAACAGAATTTAAATAAACTACACTCCAACGTATATTAACTACAAACGACAAAAATCAGAAACGTGACTATGGCCATTAACCATGAAAACACACTACAATCATTTTCAACATTTGTCTCATCACCCACTAAATAGATTAAAATAAAACCCAAAACCACCAAAGGACGATATCTTAATAGATTACAAGGATCTCAACACAAGATCAGATATCTCAAGGTGCTTTTGCTAAAACCATTAAGTGCAGTTTCATTCAAAAGTATGCATAGCTACAATGCCCAATTTTCATGTTACTACACTGACCCCTACGCCTCAAACCACACTCTGAGGAGCACTTTTCAGTGCTACATAAAGAGGCAGTAAGCCATACTGTACTACGATAATGGTATGATAATGATCTTCCTTTTGAATGGGACAAGATGGAAGAGGGCTCCCTCCAGTGAAAAGCCCATAAATTTCATCTATGAGGCAGCACTCAAAAGAGAAGTGATGAAGGATTTTTTCATTCCCTTATTTCTCAAATAAGTAATGAGTGAAAAATAAAAATTAAAAAAAAAAAGTTATTCTTTTCTACCTGGCAAAGATACAGTCTTTATTGCCTCTAAGACAGCAATGCTACAAAGCTTAGTTTTAGAGGTGTGGAAAAGTTCTGAACCCAATGAAAGTCATGACAAAATTTCCATTGACCTCAGAAGACCATAATTTAGTTCACGATGATAATCCCACCAATCCTTACAACATAACTTCATAAAAACTGAGTAGCCTAAGATTTCAAGTCAATTAACCCAAAATATCAGCTCAGCAGACAGCATACTGTTCAGATGTTGCACATCTCTACTGCCGGTTAGTCTTCAATGTGTGCCTGTCACCAAGAGAATATCATAAACTAGTAAGTCACAGTGACTCAGGCACTTACGAGACAGTTTTCTAAAAATCATTAGTTTGTGCCTCAGTCACCATGCTTTTAAACGGTGGTATGATACTTACTCATTTTAAAACTCTCTGAAGTCTAGAAATGATCCATGTAAGAATCGTCATCACTACCACTATCATTCTGTACAGGAGTTAGTTTTAATGATTCATGAAATGATGGTCTAAGTTAACACTTAGACAACTTTCAGTTGTCTTCTTTCAGAATAATAATCTTTCAAATGTTACTTAAAACTGTGGGCCTTATCAATTTTGCAGATTAAAAATCTTGTAACAATACTGATCATAAAGAATGATCTAGTTTGGACATTCAGTAACAAATACTTACACTTTCTTACAAGTTCAACTGAAAACTCTTCCCTCTCTAAACTCTTCTGTAGCGCTAGAATGCACTAAAATTTTCATGTACTGCAGTTTAGTGGGACTCTAAGTCCAGGATTTAAACTTAGATACAAATTAACGTGCTTTGAGAGCACTCAGAAAAGCATGTACTCCATAATGCTAAAGCAATATTATTGTTAAAAATACTTACCAAGGATTTCATCAAAGATCTTGTACAAGCCTGGAACAAAGGTAACTTCTCTGCAATTCATTCCTACATCTTCATCATAAACCCACATTAACTACATGTAAACAAAACAAAATAAAAATATTTACTGTCTTGGTAAACCAGTCTATGATTATCTAAGCTCCATTTACTTCAGGAACTGTATTCTTCCAATTTGATTGCTGTTGTCATATGAGACAGAAGCAGAAGTTTGGCAAAAATTACAGTTGTACCCACAAAGACTTCCATAATGAAAATCTATTAATTTCTGCTTGATGGGGAACTCCAACAGTATAGACAATGAAGTTCGAAGTAATTTGCAACTTCACAAAAATGGCTGAAAAAAGTGCCTAAACAAACTGACAAAAACATTTTTGGAGCTAAAGCAAATGCTACTTACAAATATGTACGTATATTTGTGTGCATATAGGTATGTTTGTAAACACACATATACACACATAACTCTGTGTTTACACACGTAGGTGTGTGTTTATGTTTTGATTGAACAGTGAACATTTTCTGAGCATGTTTTTTCAGGTGAACCAAGCACTGCTTTAAAAAGTCTTCTCTTGACCTGTTCCTACACATACATACATAAACATTATCACAGTTTTTAGCATGAGAATTCAGAACACTCAGAAAAGTAGAGATGTGCCTATTTGTTAACCAGAATAGTAATTTCCCCATTAAAACCACAAAAACTATTTAGATTGTAAATTTAGCGATCCTTACCTGAGTTAAAGGTTCAACTGACCCAATGTAGGTATCTGGACGGAGGAGGATGTGCTCAAGCTGAGTCTTTTTCTGATAAACTCTCTCAACAGACATCTTTTTTGAAGTGTCATTTTTATTAATGCTTTCTGAGTCTTCCTTTTTTGAAGCATTTATCTGATTATCAAATAACGTCTTAAAAAAAAAAAAAACAACAACGTTCAACCTCATTCAATCTGTCACTCTCAAGGTATAAACAAAACCTGACAGATTTCAATTACAATCAAAACTTGTCATGTAATGTAAATGTTTTCAGATGTATTAAGATAAAGCTATCCCTTCAACAGAAAAAAATTCAACAGATTACGTGACAGATTCTTAACAAATGGTAACACATTCAAACTTTAGTGATGTACTAAGCATGATAAACCAAAATAAGGAAACACCAGTATATTATCAAAGACACTGACTTCCTCAGGTTAGGTATTTATAACATCCATTTTGTGCTTAAGCATTGAATCCAAAGCACTGAGTACTGTTCTGAATAACAGTAAAACTACTCGATTTTACATTTTAGTTTGTACAATTCATTCAGTGGGACTTAAGAAACACACTAATATCTTTCCTATGGCTTCTCAATTGCTATAGCTTGTATCCTCTATTTAAGTGAAATAATTAAACCTGATGCAATCCCAGTTTAGAATGCTTTATGATTAAATAAGCCAAGGACTGTAAAAAAAGAGAAACGCATAGGCTAATGTTGGAATTTAAACAGAATTCAAGCCTAATGTGGCTGGAGATGATGAAAAATGCCTCAACTGGAAGAACAAGCAGTGTTACAGGAAGCTAATCCAATTTTGAGGGGACAATATAGGGATTTGGTGCATCTTTCAGCGATTTTTTCCTGCTAAATACTTCCTTCCCATTCAACTAAAACCACCCAAAAGGAAAAGTTAAAATCTCTCAGAGCAATCAAATGTAGAAAAGCCTCATTCTGAGACAGTAAGAGCATATCTACCAAGAGAGTAGGTATGACATTTTACAGTATAGGTTCTTACCTGTAAATTAGAATTATCTTTAAAAATATCAATAAACATAACTTGAACTCACATGATTTACTTGCCTGGCTAGCAGACATAACAGAAAAAAACTCTGTCACCACCTGCCTAATACCTGAAATAGCCACCTCCTCTTACAGGGGGTTTACCAACTTTGAAGCAGGTGTTACATGACCAGTAAAAACCATCAACAGACAAATGAGGGCTGAACCCACTTGTCACTCAGGTAAATATTTTACTCCCATTTAGCTGTTCCCAGTAAATCTCTGTATAAAATAAATACAGGCTGAACTCCAATTCTGCATTAATGAGCCACCACGTAAATTTCTCAGTCAGAAGAACGCACTATCACTTCCCTCTCAACCCAGCCTTTGCTGCAGCCCCAGAGAGCACTGAAAGCAAACGGTAAGAAACATATGAACACAGAGGAACAAGGAGCAAAAGATACTGAACTTACCCAGACAACTTCAGTAGATTCTAAAAGGCCAGACACCAACCTATAGCATACAATTAACAAGGACAATTCTCCCTGTATTGTTCAAATTTGTCTCCTCCAGCTTCTATTGTTAAAGCTTTGATGATTTTCTTCTCCTCTGCCCCCAGCAGGCACAGTAATAAAGCATTTCACTTTATTCAAAACAAGAGAAATTACCTTTCTCTTCCAGATTTAGAGATCATGTTTTTCTAGTTTATTTACAGAAATGCTTCGAAACACGTACTCCAAGACCCTTTGAGACAAGCAGACAGCATGCACCAGCGATGACAACAGCCAACTGGCCATGAGTAAACCTGAACAGGCCAAATGAGAATCAAATATTCTCTACTACCCAGGCCTGTAACTAACAGCAACCAGAATGAGAGGAAGAGAGAATCCAGGGGACTCCACAATCCTGCACAGGGATTACACGCAGCAGAGTGGGAACCACAATGCCAACTCTCATGACTTTTCTTCTGGAGTACATCACATCTCCCTCTAAACAGGGAAGTTGCAAAATCGCATGCACATGTGATTAAAGTGTTTTGGTATCTGAGTTAATTTAATCTCCATACTGTCATTTCGTTTTCAACTGCAACGACGACACCACCATCAGTCCACCTCCCACTCCCCAAAAAAACCCGAACAGCCATGATCAGCTAAGCAAGCAGAAAAGAACCAGGATTTTGCAAATAGATACATTAAACTGATACATGGAAGAGGAGGAATGAGAATTGTTACTAAAGAAGCATTGCCAATAGGTGCAAGGTAAAGTTTATTTCATTGACGTAGTTCTGTGAATGATGTTCAGGCTTCCAATAAGCTTCACTGTGTGTGTAAACAATTTTTTTTTTTTAATACATATCTTTCTGAACTTAGTGGTTTTACTTTATAATCATCTTTGACATCATACCTCACAGGAGTCACCCTTAGCTCACTTACTGGTTCCATAGCTCTGCCAGCACTGTTCCATGATCATTTGTTCTAAAGGGATCAGTGATTAGCAGGAAAAGAAAGTAATATTTCTCAGATGAAGCAGAAACAAGTGTTTAAAGAAGGGAAGAGAGGAAATGTAATTCATATAGAAAGCAAAAGAATTACACATGTAAAGACCACCTGAATCTTGTTTAGATGGAACACTTCTATTTGCTCCTAATTCTTCGGCTTCAAGAGAGCTGGGGAAGTACATGATGGACAGTTTTCACATGCCAGTTTTTCAGTTGTCTTGTACATCAGTATTGTATTTTTATGATTATTCTGAGACAGATCTCTAAAATGCTTCCACTTGTACAGCATAGGAGGATTAGGGTCTAACCATGCATCACAACACAGTAACACGTTAACAGAGAGTAAGAACTCTAATCTCAGGAAAATTGTAGCCTAAATGTATCAGGCTATCTCCATTATTTCTGCTTGTCCCACAACATGTTTGCAAAAGTCAGTAGATTAGAAAAAGTCCATAGATTAGAAAAAGTCCATTTTATTGTGACTGAAAGGGTACCTCTTGATTGTGAAAATTTATGACAGAATAGAATTATTGGTAGGGGATTCCTACAAGCCATTGCCTTTAACACAACACTAGGAAATGCATTTCTGCTTTCCAGTGGAAGTCTTCCTGACAACTTGGAGGATCTTATACTTTCCAACTTAACAGTAAGAAATGTAGACAGTATCAAAACTACTTCAGTTGAGATGCTACTGTCAGATTGTTGTCATGTTGACAAAGAATACAGGTCACACCTAGGCAAACTTTGCTGCCTAAAAAGAACTAGTCCTTCAGAAGTGTCACTTCTTGGGGAACAGTGAGTTTGCTTTAACTCAGCAGTAGTAAGAATCTTCTGTTACTCCACTACCCGTGACAGTTATGTATATCATCTTTTATAATACACTAATTAGAATGTGATTATGTTTGATTTAAGAGGGGGAAAGAAACGCCCAAAGGATCAGCACATTTTTTTCTTCCTGGCCAGTGATTACGAAAAAAAAATAAATAAAATAAAAAAAAAAAAGAAGAAAGAAGCAGTCTTAAAGAACTTTAATAGTATAGTTTTTACTAGGACATCACAAACACCTTTTCAGTATGCTTTACTTCAACATTTAAGTTTCATTGTCACAGAGCAGGACAGATTTTATTTGTACAACCCTCCAAGTATAATATATCTTCTGTATGCAAAAAATACTCATATTATGAACATTCAGAACTCATTTAACTTACTATTGAAACACGAGCACAAAAACAAAAGCCAGAAAGTATTCAACTACACAAACTGATGTTATTATGCAGGCACGCAAGCAGAAGTCCGCAGAACTGCAGTTTCTCAGACCAAGCCTTTTGAGCTGGGCTGTGCTCTGAAACAGACCACCAACTCTGGATTCCTGTAACTTCGTCTTGAATGGACATTTTTCAAGTTCAAGTAATGTTTAGAACTCATCCCAAAAAAGAAATAATACTCATCACCAAATCCATGATGTAGATCTATGGACACAAACATCCTTCACAGTCTTCCTATTAAGTTTTCCTCAATAGCTTACAAAAAAAAATAATAATAAAAAAACACTTTCATCTGCTGAGTTTCTACTACTTAAAATGCAAGTAGATATAGCAGGAAATCTGCCTTTTTTATATATATATAAACTGAGCAAGCACTAAACTGCACTGTTGTTAAACTGACGATCTCTTCTGTATATTTTGGAATTGTCTCAAAAACGCCTTTTGTATTCTGTCCTGTATGAAAGATGTTCATATTGTTAGAGCTCCAACAGCACTTCTCAAAAAAGCTGTTGTTCATGAGAAAACCGCTAAAGAGAATTAACCAAAAGTCACAAAGTGTTTAAGTCTTCTGCTCACAGTAAGTCTATTTTTTTTAGTTAGTTTGTTAACAGGTTACCCAATTTTCAGGGTCCACTTTGCAGTCCTAATGTTGTCAGGTTTTAGGGTTTTGTCAGTTCGTTTTGGTGGGGGTTTTTTTGTTTCATTTTTTGTTTGTTTGACACCGTGTTTGATCTTCCCAGCATTCTTGTGATATTCAAGACTTCACAGATTCTTGATAAGTCTTCCAGATTTTCTAACCCTCCAGACTGAGGATGAATAAACACATCTACACACACATAAGTCAGCAAGATGACCATCCTTAAGTAGCTTGGAATGCTATAACCTATTGCACTCTGCACCCTCACTTATACTTCACACCCTTCACACTGTCACCTCAGACACAGCTAGCATCTCAGGCACTCTTAAGAAACAAGTGGTAACCGTATGGAAAAACATACTGATTCTCAGTTGACAGCAGTTGCTGCTCAGTTTACTACATTAAGGCTGTTGTGTGCATGCTATCATAACCATATTTTATTATGGCAACTGTTTTTTCCAGTATGATTGCAACAATTGCAGAGTTTCTCTTTTAGAGTTGTTTTTGCTATAAATTTATCTATAGCAAAAGCTACAGTCCTGTTTTCCTTTTGAGATCTCAAGAGTCAGACTCCAAGTAGCCTTTAATAGACAACCATTTGGCAACAGGACTTCTACGGTCTACCTTCAACCTAAGAACTCACATATTTGGTTTTGGCGTCTTCTTTCTTCACATTTTGCATCCCTCCCCCTCTTCTTACAGTCTCCTCCACTGAAATTTCTGCATAAAACAGAACATGCGTGACATCCATAT